CCGCGGCGGCCCGGTTTCGATCCCGGGTCTGGTCAAGTGAGATTTGTGCTGGACAAAGTGGCGCTGGGGAAGGTTTTCTCCGAGTACTTCGGTTTCCCCTGCCAATCTTCATTCCACCAACTGCTCCACAATCACCCACACCTATCATCTGGGGCTGGTAAAATAGGCCAGAAATGGCCCCAGTACAAGGGACTTAGTCCCACCCCACTAGCAATAGACAAAATAGACATGCTGGGTTGCATAGAAACTCCTAGGTTTTCCAACTACTTTCTTCCGATTGGGATTTCCGACAAAAATTTTATAGAAATTTCTCATTTCCCCATGTGTGCTTCAGATTCCGCCCATCTGAACCCCGATTTCATGCAGAAGAGTGGAAATATTGAGGCTTTCGATTGAGTACATTTCTATCGTTTGACAGATCTAGGCATGCAGGGGCGGCTGGTATTGGAGTTCGGCTCGCAGAAACTCAGTCCCTCCGCGAGTAAACTGTGTTTCTGACATAACGCCACGGAAAAGAAAAACCAATTGGGTGATGTCCAGAGAATGTGGAGGCTAATCGATCTATCGGCGCGCAACCGTTCGTTCAAGAACGCCGTGTAATTCTTTTGCTAACAGCCGGTGTATCCATATAGGAACCCAGCACTTGTATACCGTGACGTCGTCTTTTCTTGCCTCCCGTAAGCAAGCAGTTTCCGGTGCGTGTGCCCAAAACACTTGCGATAAACTTAGGTAGTTGGGTAAATATTTTAATAATTTCTCATGTCAACTGAGATTAGCTGGAACAGCTATCTCCTTTATGCAGGAGGAAGTAGTTATAGAGGCGTGTGGCGGAAGATAAAGGTTACCTGCAGAAAATAAAAGTGAATATTCCCTAGATCCGTTCGAATACAAGGCACCGCTTTAATATAAACTTCCAAACTGTCGTAAAACCTTCCCAGGTGTGATTCAAGCTAACGCGATCTCTTCGCCCGAACTCGTTCTATTAATAGCAAAAGTTCTGGGAAGAACTTGTTAACATCGCTTTCCTGTTAAGTTCTGCATAAGGAAGTCAGGTCACGTAAAGCTAAAAATGCAAAGTTCTCCCCTCCCTGTATGTATTTCATTAAATACCACGTCATGACGACGTATTGGTGAGTGGAGATATAGCTCCACACATTCCTAACGCGGTAGCGTGGGGGCACGCAGTAGCGTAGTGGTTGAGGAGCTATGCTACAAGACGGAAGGTCGCGGGTTCAAGTCCTTCCAGTCGCACTAGGCCCTGGGGTTTAACTCAGCCTCTAACAGAAATGAGTACCAGGAATTAATTTAATAATTTTCCAGGGGAGTAAAGCGCGGCCGGCGCTTAAGGCTGACAACCTTACCGCCATCTTTGAGCCGATTGTCTAGTTAATGTGGGACCCTCAACGTCTCACAACCCTATGGGCCATCATGGCCTGTTACAGGGATAGCTTTACTTTTGCTTTACTTTTACATCCCTAACTTCGGCGCTAGATCCGAATGGTCAGCTGTACACTCCAGCGGCTTTACCCCCTGGGAAAGAACCTCCGGTATCCATTCGGTAAGAAAGTGGGTGGGTCAGAGCCAGGTTGAACGCTGCGGAGGAGAGAGAGAAATATCTCGCCTCTGCCATGTATCAAACTCCAGTTCCTCGGCCGTTCTGTCCGTAGTCCGTCGCTATACCCAAAATAAAATTATGTAAACTCCTGAACCTTCAGCGTCTCATCGTCGACGCGTTTCATTTATGAAGTCCGAAAGATTAACATTTACGAAATCGTAATAAGTAATTTTACCTGCTACTCTGCATGCTCATTCATTCGTTCATCAGTTGCTCTACAGCCCTTTGTTGGGTCCTGATCACTTTTTCACTTTCATAATCCTATACACAGTCGGTAGGACTCCTTGACGGGGGATCAGCCCTTCGCAAGGCCTCTACCTATACGCACAGCAGTACGCACACAGACTTCCATGCCTCGAGTGGGATTCGCACCCACGATCCCAGTATTCGAGCGAGTGAAGACGGTTCATGCCTCAGTGATCAGCGCTGTTCTGTATTGTTATTGAACTATGTTAATATGGATCCATAGCAGAGCTACTCACCACAATCGTAACAATAATAAGAGACGTATTTGGTGAGACTGCCTGAAGATGCTCCCAAATGTGGGCCGAAACATGTAGCAACTATCAGGTAAAAACCAATGTGAGCAGTTCGATTGGTTTATTTTTATTGTTGTATTGACGGCCAGATAGCACCGGTCTAGATACTCGGACACCACGGGCTGCAGACTGTGAAGGTATCATCTGATATCACGCAGGACTGGGAAGTTAATAGCAGGAAAGCTATTCTACTTAACAAATGGTGCGACTCCCTGTTGCGTCCGTGTATCTGTATATAACGCGTGGCATACCGTCGGCACTGTTTTGGACATGTTTGCCGTTTGGTCACTCCTGCTTTGTAGCTTGTAAAATATATTTTTATTTAGAAGCTAGGTTGCAGTAATTAATGGGTTTCCAATATTTATACCCTGGGACGTTTTATTTTATAAACAGATCAGTGTATCGGTGCCTTTCCCCCGACATAGCAGTGATGTGGGGACCTGATGAGACGTGGAACTGCGGGGAACTGCGGCGGGAGAACCAAAGAGGGACATATGCAGCGTGCCTTTTGTTTTGTTTGTGTGCGAACTAATTTAAACGAACAGTGATACGCTTTTAGGCGGAAAGTAATAGAATTTGTGTTCATGAATTTCAGGTTATTGCTTTCCCGACCTGGAGAGACTGCTCTGTACTTTTCTTTATCTCGAGCTCTGAACCGCTGGTGATGGCTCGCGGTCACAAGCTTGGGTACCAGGCGAGCAGGCGGTAGGGGACACTCGCAGACGAGAAATTAGAACGAAGAGTTCGCGAGACGTATGAAACGTAAAGCTATTATAGTAATAAGATGTGGAGACCCGTAGGGTTGTGAGATGTCGAGGCTCACATTTTCTAGGTAGTCGGCTCACAGATGGCGTGAGGTCAGCCTTACGCGCCAGCCGGCCTTTACCCCCAGGGCCATAGTGCGGCTTGAAGGATTGCAAGAAAATAAGTAAGGGAGGGAAGAACGAAAGAAATGAGGACTAAAGGGAAGAAGAGAGGAATAAGAGAGGGAGGAAGAAACAGATAAGAAGGAAGGGAAGAAAGACACAATAAATAAGAAGGAAGGAAAGAAGGAAAACAAGAAAAATTTGAGGAGATTGGGCTAGGAAGAAAAACTAAGGAAACAAGAAAGAAATACGGAAGAGAAGAATATTGATGAAATAAGAAAGAAGTAAGCACGGAAGAGAGGAAGGAATAATGAAAGAAACAGGGAAGGCATAAAGTAGAGAGAGGGCAGAAGGAAACCGAAACTCGAGTTTCTTGCAACTTACTGATTATTCTTATGCGTTTTCTGCGCGAAGTGCGAGATGTGAACGCGTGTAGGGCTGGTCGTGGGCTCTGGGGCCCACCCAGTCTCCTATCTGTCGCGTATCTTGGATAAAGCGGCCGGGTCCAGAAGCTGTCCAGTGTTGAGTTTAATAATGCATGGAGCTACATCTCGGCTACGCAAGGATATCTTCGGGGATGATTGAAAGAAACGAGGACGGAAGGAAAGAAGAAATGAGTAGAGGTTGTCTGTGTTAAGTAATGCCTACAGTTGATGTGGTGTAGACAAATAGACGTAAGCAGTTGCCGTGATCCGCGGAGCGAAGCAGAAGCAGTGCTTGTTGCACTCGACGCGCACGGCGCGCGATGCATCCGCATTGCAGTGGCGCCTCTGTCCGGACGCTCGACACAGACGCGCTAGCTCATTCATCACTTTCCTTCTTCTCTTCTTTCTTTCCTCCTTTTCTCTTTTCTTTGCTTCCGTCATTTTTTTCTCAACCGCTGGAAATTTTCATTTAAACAATTTTCAGCTTATTTTGATCATATGCTTCATTACCGGGGTTCGATTCCTGGAACGGGCAGAGATATTTGTTCTCGTCACCGCATTCAGACCGGCTCTGAGTCTCACCAGGCCTCCTACGGAGTAGATACCGGGATTTCGATGTGGATAAATACATCATCCTGTTGTTGCTGTCAACATTGCGAGACAGAGCAAACTAAGAACAGAAATAAAATTGAGCATTAAAAGTTAAAAATTATTAACCTTTGTAGCTGGCAAATAGTTTGGTGTAGGCCCTAAATATTTATCAAGAACTTCTGATTTATGAAGTTGGAAATGAATGCATGAAGATTTCTGGCTTCATAACCACCGGTATGAAGACATAAAATCCTACATAAGCTTATAGGCTAGTGTGTAAATTTAAAAAGTAAGATGTGTGGTGTGGAGGTACGCTATCATGCATTCCTAAGCTCGGTACCAGATGAAGGTGTTTACCGTCGAGGAAGGAGTCACCCAGTATCCACTGGGTACGAGGCTGGATGCTCCCAGAGCTGATCTGTACATGGGGAGCCCGGATCCCAGTCCGTGTATCGACTAAGCTGCGACTGTTGCTACTTTGCAAATCTTGTGTAGGCAAGTCCCATGTGAATGATAGCGACGGGCTGAACGGCTGAAGAATTGGAATTCTATTCCCGACAAGGGTAGGAGATTTATCTCCACAGCGTTCATACTGGCTCCGGGGCCCACCCAGCCCCCTATACAGTGGGTACGGAGGAGCTTTCTCTCCGGGGCGTTAAGCTTATCACACACCATGCGGTGCCGAGGTTAAGAATGGCCTAACTGCGCCTCCACTTCGCCATACATCTTCATGGCATAGTTCTTAATTCCTTAATTAGCACAGGGAAACTTTATTACTGGCATATAAGTGTAGATTAGAGTAAGTGTCTAATGATGACCTAACGGCCATGACGCACCCTCGCTCGCTGAGTGAAGTACTTGGTACCCATTTGATAGGAGGCTGGTTGGGCCCCTGCCGGGAATCCCCGTCCGTAGCCTGTCGCTATCCCGGCTGCCAGTAATGTAGGTGTCAATGTCTCTTCAGCAGGCACTCAGCGCACGCTGCACGTGTTGCATAACTCGGAGCAGCCCGCCTCGGTGTTCTCCATCCTGGAGTCAGGCAACAAGACCATTCCCCTGGTGGCCGACGGCCTGTTTGATCTGCTCATGAACAAGATGACAACCATCTACACATCCAAGAAGCAGACCAAGATTGAGGCTAAGGGTCCGCGCTTCGAAATCGGCGACTTCTGTGTCAAGCTGGGCAGCGTTACCATGAGTCAGAACTTTAAGGGCGTCCTCGTGGAGGTGAGTGAACTCAATAGATTGTTTCTGGTGCCGGCAACTAGTGGGTCCGCTGATGATAGATGAGTGTGGAGCATTCGGTGGGACGAAAACTGGTAGAGGAAACCGAATTACTCGAAGAATGCATAGAAATAGAAGGCCTTAGTACAGTAAGCCTTATCTCTTGACATATTTTAAGGAACCTCCTTACTATATACCGGTGATATCAAGCAGAACCGCTGAGAACAGTGTCGCGGTTATGTTAACAGGATTTCTGCATTCGTCAGTCTTTTATTTCTGTGACGATGCTGCCATCTGGTGGTTAAGTATAGCTGTCTATCCTGTCTAAAATTCCTGAAACTTTAAACCTAGAGTGTCTTGAGAAGTTCCGACGTTCTGTCCTGATGAGTTATGTTTCTTTAAACTACTCAGACTTCCCATTGAGAGCTGCTGCTGTGGCAGCTGTTCGCTAGAATCGGAATTCTACGGCAGTAAAAACCGAGGCCGGTCAGTTAAGTCTCTAAAGCACCGTGGTAAATATGAGATGTATCAACTGCTTCAACATTCAGAAACTCTTATTCTGTCGACAGATTGTATTTGTAGCTTCCATGTGGTTCTAAGAATAAACACCAATTGCTCCTCTTAGTCAAACTATATTTTTGCCTGTGGTTTTGTATGGGTGTGAAACTTGGTCTCTGGCATTAAGGGAGGAACACAGACTGAGGGTGCTGAGGATAATATTTGGACCGAAGAGGGATGAAGTGACAGGAGGTTGGAGAAAACTGCATAATGAAGAGCTTCATAACTTGTACTCTTCTCCAAGTACTCGTATAATTGCAATGATCAAGTCAAGGAGGATGAGATGGGCAGGACGTGAAGCACGAACGGGGAGAAGGTGAATGCATATAGGATATTTGATTGGAAAGCCAGAAATAAAGAACCACTAGGAAGATCAAGACGTGGATGGATGGAAAACATTAAAGTAGATGTGAGAGATATGATGGGGTGGTATGGACTTCATTTTTCTGGCTGAGGATCTGACTGGAAGGCTCTTGTGAACTCGGTAATGTACCTTTGGGTTGCATAAAATGTTGGAAAATTCTTGAGTAGCTGCACAACTGGCGGCTTGTGAAGAAGGGCTCAGCTCCATGCAATCAGGTAGTTACTTCTCTAAGGCTTATTAACCGATTGGTCTTTGTAATGGTGTCGAGCTTGTTTTCTGTGAGTTGGCAACTGCATTTTTAATTATTGCTTGATTAATTTCATGCTTAAAAAGGTCAAAGAGAATATCATGCATTATACCGTAGGATCTGTTTGTAATGGAATCTGAACAGACCGGAACTGTTTCGGCTTACACAGCGACAGGCTTCAGTGTGAGCAACCTGACTGTACGCAGCATGTCCGGTAGACTCCTCTGGTCTCTGTGCCCGCTGGGCTGCTTATTTCTGCCTGATTAATCTGTTTCGTGAAAGTGGAGGCCGCGCTATTGGCCTTGTGGCTAAAGCACATGTCCCTCTCAGTCTCAAAGCCCGTCTGTTTTCGCCTTTCAGATAGATACAAGATGTACTGGTGATGACGTGGTCACCAGCAACACGTTTTGTTGTCATGGTCATGTTGCTGAGGTCCTGGGCGGAACTCGTAGTTTACTATTGGGTTATGGTGACCGCTTATCCTACGCGTCTCGTCTTCTTAACATTTACACAGATATCTATGTAACGTAAATGTATTAGCTCATGCCCTAGCATACTGGACCCATGCCCATTTGGTCATAATATCGATTTCTAGTCCATTCAATTTTGTATAGTTTACAGTTGTTAGAGATTATTATTATTGTTAGTAGTAGTATAGGCCGCCTATGTGGTCTAGTGGTCAGAGTTCCTGGCTACAGATCCATAGGTCCGGGTTCGATTCCTGGCGCTGCCAAATTTTCTGAGAAGTAGTGGGTATGGAACGGGGTCCACTCAGCCTCGTGAGGATAATTGAGGAGCTACTTGAATGGAAAAGTAGCGGCTCCGGTCTAGAAAACCGAAATTAACCGCCGTGGGGATTCGTTGCGCTGACCACGCGACACCCTCTATCCACTCAAGTTAGCATTAACTTCGCCGACAAGCGGCGGTCGCTCGGTCGGTATAGTTCGCTTGCGGACCAAAACTACGGATTTTTTTTTTTTGTTTTGTTAGCAAAAGTAGTTCCAGTTCAGTAGAGGGAATAGCTAGCAGGCAGTTCTGAACGAGAGTCGGCGAAGGAAGGACCTGAGGCCGGAAGCTGAACAATTTCCACTGTTAGAAACCGTTGTCAGGGGACGGCTGGTGAAGACACAGCAGACTAGAAAAAGGCTTAACGGGTGCTGTGGTGATTTGTGAATTATGGAGATTAGCGATAGCGCTGTAATTAATTGTAGTTACGATCTGCAAGGATCCAGTAAACCCGATCACCAATCCAAACCCTGTGTCTAGTCCCTAAATACGTGACAGTATTGTCTCTTTATAGTTTTTAAATGAAGGCTCTACAGTCATATTTTTTATTTATTTTTATCAACACTACTTATATCACTAAATTTCCTATTTATTTTTGTTCTAAGTTTTTTTTTCTTTTATAGCGACCCCTTGCTTCATTAATCCGGATAACCCCCCGATTAATCCGGATTAGCGATAGTTTACTGTATATTCATTCTGACATGCTGAAGACTTACACCCAAGCCACAGTCGGACACGTGACGGAACACAGGCTGGAAACTGCTGTGGACGAGAGCAATATGTAATTTTCGAGATTGTAAGTGACAAGTAGCATTGAGTAACTGTGACAGTTATTGTGGCAGTGGCGACTCGGTTTGTCGGTGGACTGAAATCGGGAGTGACAGTGCAGGTTATGCAGTGAAATGGCTAAAGCCATGTACATTACGTGACGCCTTTGTGGCAGTTTTTGTTAGTCTCGCGTAGCCCATCAACCGTCATTATATTGAATCACGATATATTGTGGGACGGTGTCACTCAGCACCTGCACCCCACGCTACACGCATGTTAGTTGTGTTGTCTAGTATACAGGGTCACGGTTTGTTTCAAATGTTCGTGACGATAATGTTGTTGGTTTACTATCATTTAACTGTTTCCTGCTCCTAAATTGCTTGATTTGTCAGCCGTCATAAAGGTTGTTATCGAGTTCTTCTGTATATATGTGACTCGCGTTGTACGCGGGTTTGCGCTCCTAAATATCGCCGCGTATATCAAAAAACGCGTGAAACGAGAGACCCTTGTATGCGAACCCTGAGTAGGAAACGACGTGACAGTCACTCTGGTGGGGAGAGTCAGGGAAACTGCGCGCGCAGCTCATTGGACATGAGCAGCAGCTTCTACCGTGACCGCGATTGCATAGTGCTTGATTAATTAAGCACAGGGACAACTTGATCTTGTTTACCTTTGTGGAATGCACTACGCTATGCACTTACAGAGAAGGCTAAGTAAAATTTGTCGCTGATAAATTAAGCGCCATGCCATGAACATGTGTGGGGGAGGTAAAGAAAAAGTAAAGGTATCCCTGTAAGAGGCCGTTAAGACCCATAGGATTGTGAGACGTCGAGGCTGCCACATTTTCTGGACACTCGGCTACAGATGAAGGTGAGAATGTCATCCTTACGCACCGGCCGCCCTTACCCCCAGGAAGATTTCTAGTACTCATTTCTGTTAGAGACTGAGTCGACCCTAGGGCCATAGTGCGGCTGGAAGGATTAGGTCAATTGAAAAATGCAGTGACCTGATTGGGAATCGAACCCACGACCTTCCGGCTTGTAGCATAGTGCCTCTGCCAACTACGCTACTGCGTGTTCCACATGTATGGGGGGGGCGGAAGTAATGACTCTTACCTCGGTACTAAATGGAGGGCTGCGTACAGCTTCACGACGCTGCTACTTTACCCTCGTAGTTATTGGATAGGAGGCTGGATGGGCCCCAAAGCCAGTCTCTTTCTTCTGTTCCCAGGCCATTCAGCCCTTGGCCTTGGCCTAATTACTGTAATTCAGGCTCCAGTATTGTACTTGGTCTGCCACACCCCGGGACGTGCCTTATTTCGTTGCTTCACTGCCCAGTCGCACTGCCTTCGGTGTCCCTCGGAACTGGTCTGGGTGTTATGGAGAACAGATGGAACGTAATCTGGTTATATGACTTGTGTGAAGGCCCTCTGTTGGTACGACTCCGAATTTGGCATTGTGGGGCCGGGCGGGTTCCTGCAGCCCGAGCTGCTGTATGGGGCGCGAGCAAAAGTTTATTGATTGTTCCCTGGAGCCTCGGGGAAAGTAAGGGCCCTAGCACTGACGGGAAATGGAGAGCGTTTCCGGGTAATGATGGCCTGTCCGCCGCACACGGAGCTCGGAGCACGAGAAGATCAAGAAAAGTCGAAACTGTTGACTGTCAAGACTTCCTTGAACGTCTGACCAAACAACACGTAGAGATCACTCAGACGTAATCAATCGTGCTGCTGCAGATGTCAAGGGAAAAGAGAACGAAGCCGGATGACAACGAAAAGGAAGGGAAAATGCGCAGGAGATGTAGAAAGGTAAAGTTGTCAGTGTGCCTAACTACAAGGGAGAATCAGTAAAGAGTCACAAATGGAAGTAAAACAGCTGTAATTGATGTAATAGGTTTTCTATCTATATCACTAGGTAGCAGCACAGTCCAACCTCATGACAGTCTAGGTATCAGACGCTCGTGCTTATGTTCAGAGGCTGGTTTTAGTAGTCAAAATGGCGTTCATGTTTGAGGAGTGCACTACCAAAGAAGAGAACTTCTGTTGTGATTTTTTTGTGGGCAAAAGAACATTACGTTTTATCCTTTTTATTGAGCAAATAAGGTGCGAGGCTGTGAACGGAATAGTGGAGCTGTACCACCACTCCCTATACTTCTTCATGGCTAATACCTAATTCATTTATCACCGTTACTCCGTTTTGTTCGTTAGTGTTACCCACGTTTGAGAACCGCTGATATATCCTGCTTTTGTGGAGACTGTTTTACAACGCTGTCAGTAGCTAGACT